ACTGAAGCCCAGTGGTTTATATAACTGTCAATATCATGACAGCTTTTTGAAAAATATAATTCGGGTTGGATTTTTATAATTTACAACAAAAAGGAAATCTGTGAGACATGAAGCTAAAGCTCTTGCACGCTTTAATTTAGCCTTGAAGTCTAATAACGACAGAATGCACGCAATAACTTGACCTCGAAGTTTTATACAAACACAATAGACGCATGAACTTAACTCGAAGTCTTATAAAAACAGACTACTTTACTAGTCTATGTGTTTGCTGTGTGTGTGTGTGTGTGTCTGTAACTGTGAATGATTATGTGTGTATACATGTGTATACTAAATCGAGTTATAGTGTAATAACTATTGCCTTTTTAAAATAATTATTGTTGTAAAAATATTTTTTCTCTTCCATTATACCTAATTTCAATAATTACTCACACAGTTTACGTTTAGGCTATTTTCAAATTTAAAAACTTTGAGAATGAGGAAAATTGGGTTATTAATGTTAAACTAGGATAAGCAAGCCAAAAATAGATTGGACAAATAATTCACTTTGTGGTGGGCGCTCACAAACAAGGACTGTAACAGATCTGACAGACTAATGGTCACGTGGGTCAATCAATAGCTGGCGTAGTTCGGGTAATGTGAGCTCAGAAATAGGGTAAGTTATTTAGGGAGTTTGAAGGTGAAGGACGAACAAGTACATTTTCGAGATTCGATTGGAATCAGATTTGCTATTTCTTAACACAGGTAGATATTTACTAATGCTTAAACATGTCACAAATCCAAGGTTACATAAAAACTATCACTCATTTGAAAATATTTACTCAATAACAGATCAATTTTTCTGATTGTTGTGATTACAAAAACAAGCCAATACAGGTATATAAAAACTTTATATCATTTAGATTTTAACTGCACGAAAAAGAAAACACAACAAACTTTTCTTTTCATTAGGAACAGTGATTTTGAATTATTTTGAATTCTTGCTTCATTTTCAGCTTCATATGCAAATTCAACGAAACCTTCTTGATAGGAAAAATTAATAGGAAATCAAAATGTAGAAAAAACGTTTTAATAACGAGCTTTTTTGTAATAATACACTAGAAAGGAGAAATCTATATATATAAAAAGCAATGTATGTTTGTGTGTGTGTGTGTGTGTGTCTGTGTGTCCTTTATGCATTACTACACCTCTCATCACATCGCCGTGAAACTTTGGGATATTGTTGAGAATATTCCTGGGGAGGTTTCTGCGAAAAAAAATATTTCAAATTCGCAGGGGTGGCGCCCCCACAGGGCGCGATTTGTTTTTTTCTATATACGGTATATAAAAATAAAAGTCGATTTTGGTTTGGCATCGTTCATCCTATAGCCATGAGACTTTGGGGAGTTCATTATACAACTCTAGGGAAGGGTTCTGTACAAAAATCATTTTTAATTTCGCAAGGGCGGCGCCACGGGAGGGTGCGATTTTTCTCTACATACGGTATATAAAAATAATAAAAGTGAATTGCAGTGACACCGTTCATCCGATAGGCATGAAACTTTGGGGAGTTGATTAGAACACTCTAGGGAAGGGTTCTGTACAAAAATCATTTTTAATTTCGCAAGGGCGGCGCCACGGGAGGGTGCGATTTTTCTCTACATACGGTATATAAAAATAATAAAAGTGAATTGCAGTGACACCGTTCATCCGATAGGCATGAAACTTTGGGGAGTTGATTAGAACACTCTAGGGAAGGGTTCTGTACAAAAATCATTTTTATTTTCGCAAGGGCGGCGCCACGGGAGGGTGCGATTTTTCTCTATATACGGTTTATAAAAATAAGTCGATTTTGGTGTGACACCGTTATCCGATAGCCATGAGACTTTGGGGGAGTTGATGAGAACAATTCAGGGAAGGTTTCTGTAAAAAAAAATCCTTTTTTAATTTCGCAAGGGCGGCGCCACGGGCGGCTGCGATTTTTCTCTGTATACGGTTTATAAAATGTCGGTTTCACACCGTTCATCCGTGTACCATGAAACTTCGGGGAAATGATTAGATCACTCAATGGTAGGGTTCTGCAAAAAAATATTGTTTAATGTTGCAAGGGCGGCGCCCCCGGGGGAGAGCGATTTTTTTTTCTATACACGGTATATAAAAAATAAAACTCGGATTCGGTTCATGAAACTTTAGGGAATAGATGAGAATACTCCCAAGAATATTTTTGCTAAAAAGAAAATTAAAGTTTCTTACGGGCGGCGCCATATAGGGTACAACTTTCGTCAATACACGGTTTGGCGCCCAGAGTTTTAGAGCGACTTTGTCGGCACTTGGCACCCGTTAATCGAGCGTCCTGCATAGCGAGTAAGGGGTACTACTATATTCAGCGGTAAAACTACAACAGGCTTCTAAAAATAACTTTGTAACGCGAGGAAATCCTTCTGTACAGTTTCGTCACCTTACGAAAGATGAAAAAAATAACTTTTTTGAATATGAGGAGCCTACTGTAGAGTTTCGTCACTTTGCGAATGATGCAATAAGCATCTATTGTTAGCCAATTCAGTCAGAAATTAAGATCGAGCATCTAATAATAGACCATTAGTAACGCTAGCATATTGCATCAGTCACACTGATGTTTAAAACATGTCAAATACTTTTTTACGTGTTAAAGAAAAAAGCCTGTTCATTTGTGGCACTTTAGCGAATGATAAAATCTGCATCATTATTAACAGGATGCTATTTGGCACGATGGCGCCTATTACTTTTAAGGAGCCAGGGGTCGTACGCCGCGCCTATGCGGTAGTGTAATCGGGGTGGGGGGGGGGCTGAGAGCGCCCCTGTACGTCTCTGACACATGGGCGGTCACCGAAGTGTGTTCTAACATATTATTTCGGTGAGTGATTAATGTACACTCAAGGTTTTTATGCGGTAGTGTAGGTAAACCCGTGTCCTGATATTTATGATCCAAGCGCAGGCATTGTTTACATTTAAATAACTCACTTTTAGAAAAGAAGGTCACGCGTCTAAGAACATATAATTATAATTGATAACGCGTTGGTGAAATCCTAATATATTTCGTCACACTTTCTTCTATCCCCGCGGCAACGCGCGGGGGTCGGGTACGCTAGTATATAATAAAACACTACTATTTAAATAAATATAAAGAAAATCGTGGGGTGCTATATTATCTATTGGATTCCTTTACTAGTATGTAGGAAGAGACTCACGCTTTTATTATATAAAGGCTTGCTATTTAAACAGGACAGGCCTTAATTGTGTAGAGCGACATTAATGTCACACCTAGGGATACGATGCGAAGGATAATTGACCTTTAGTGACCGTACAGTGGTGAATGAAGTTGAACCGTGCATCATATAATTATGTTCAAAGAAAAAAATGATTAAAATATGATTTTCACACAAAAAACGCAGACATAATTATGAAACAAGAGTTAAATAGCTGGTCGCTAAAATATTTTAGAGATATACTTACATAGCAACGGACAAAAATACGGACAATTTGTGTGAGATATATCACACAAGTAAATAAAGTATAAACACGAAAGACATAGTTAAACTCAACTTTACTGGGTTTAACTAATTTATTTCACATCTAGCTATGTATTAATTCGCGCTTTTCCTGCTCATTGGCCTACGTCGATCTAAGTTTGACTCTAACCTATTAGCTTTTTGTACACTCAATGTAATAGATCCCAATCGCTTCTGAGTTGGCGTAAAAAAACAGAAAGAAAAGAACTAGATCGTTCAATAAAAAGATAAAATAAATCAAAATCCACAATGAAGCTTTTCATGATTTCACCAGATCATTTTAGTAATGAAAACAAAATTGAAAACTAAGAAAATGACTCACAAATAGCATTGAGTAGGTGTTTTTTTAAAAATGTTTTTGTCAAATAACAAACGAAGGTTTTATAAATCAAATGTTGTCTTACTTCTAAGAATTTATAAATATAAAGTGAACTGGTTTTTCGTCAGATGGTATTAATTCTGGAATTTCCTATTACGTCATCATAAAGAAATACTTGAAATTCTTGTCTTTAATATAACGCTCAAGACCGTTTGGGCTTACCAAGTAGAAAGTCCCAACTACACTGTTTTTTAAGTCAATAAAATAGTGGTTCTTTTTCAGTAATAAGACGAAATCCAAAGTTATTTCTAAGTTAACGTAGCGATATGATCAGAAACTCATAGATTTAAAAAAAATGATAATCATTTGCAGATATAAATCTTTAAAATAAACTAATTTAAGTATTTGAAAATATTTTTGGCGAGAATTTTTTTAGAACACATACACATCACACATATAAGTGTAAACGCGTAGGCCTAAGTATTTTTAGATCAATTTAGAATAACGATTTAATATGTTTTTTTTTTTGTATAGTTATTTAAATAGAAGTGTATTATGATATAATTAAAGAAAATCATTTATTTTTTCTTCTTTTTAAAGCTTGCTTATTATTAAACGTGTTTTATGCATTTTTGTTTAATACTAGATTTGACAACAAATTAGTTCTCGTGTATTCTATCACATATCAACTGTACAACTATCACACATATGAAAACAAGAACACAAATCTCATGTATTAAAGGCTACGGATCACTCAAATCGCACTTGTATTAATGTATTAGATCAAGGCCCCCGTAATGTAACAATACCAACATAAAAACATAATTTGCACCTGAAGTGGTGGCATCTTGACCGGTACACAACAATTCTACAGTGGTAGAGATTTTTGCCATCAACAGTTTACAGGTCTACTGACGCAATGTTTCCAGGAGTGAAGCAAACATCATCCTAAACTATTCTTCAATCATACATCAAGCTGTTTCAATGCAATCTAGATGAGCTCATAATCACAAGCACATTTCAGATCTCAGGCAAAAATAGAATCAATAGAAACAACTTGATGAGAACGTTATTGATTTTACACATAACAAAACATCCACAAGAACATCGCTATTTTCTGCAATCATAGATTTCTCGAGTCAAAACAGATTCGTCTGCTAGCATTTCTTTCCTTTACAAAGTGAGATAAAAACCTGCCTGAAGTTATCACCAAAGATAATGTAAACAAAAAAGTTGATGACGTAATGAAGGTAGAGCAAAGTCTCGAAGAGTCTCTGAAGGACGACCTCCAGCCATCCAAAGGAGAAGAGCGTTGTCAGTCGTATCACGTGACCTGGGGTCTGGAAAATTAGGATCGTCATGGATACCATAAACAAAAATTTACAGGCTCTCGTTTCTAAAGACGCTATACTGTAGCGGGGTCTGGCCAGGGAAGCCCCAGTAGATCCCTGTGTGCTGGTGGACGCTCTGGTTCGAACTCTCGTTCTTCTGGAGGTGCGGCAGGCGATGATGGCGATAGCGGCGTTAGTTACAGCAAGAATAACAATAGGGATAATAATGGTTAATAACGTGTCAATGTAAGTCATGATAAGTATATAATCGGCGTAGATTTCGAAGTGGGTACATATACCCTCGTACGGTTCGTCCGTAACATTATCAAGTGAGGATAAGTTGGACATATAAAGCTCTCTGTGCATGAACATTGTTTGGTTGATTAAGCCGGTCTCACGCTGAGGTTCAGATAGATTGAACTCCAGGGGTCCCGTTTTGTTAGATGATATCGCTGGCCTTTCATAGAAATTCCCGATTCCGTTGTTCCAAATAGAAAACTGGTAAATCCCGATTCCAAATATAAGTATGGAAGCTGTGAGGGCCAAAGCAGAAGTGGCGTTACAGGATCTTTTGACGAACCAGGGTTTGACGACACAGAGCAGGTTTTCAACAGTCAGCACGACAGCCAACCAGATAGACACGAAGGAGGATAAGTAGGAGCAGAAGATGACGGTCTGACATACACCGGAAGTGAAAAATATCTTGATGTCCACTCGGGTCAACCAGACGATCAACACAGTCAGCAGAAAAACTAGGTCAGACACGGATTTAGACGCCAGGTAGACGCCACAAGAGGATCGTCTGAGGTTAGGTTGTACGAATACAATCAACGATACCAGGTTGGTCACGAATCCGATTCCACAGATGTATGGGACGGCTGTTGTCTGTCCATCACGAACTTGTATGTAAAGCAAAAACTCTTCAAGGGAGGTAAATGGCGGGGGAAAGAACTCTGCTGTTTCATTGGCTGACATTATCTTGCATTAATGACATTTTTTGCTTATCTCTTTCTGGTTAGAATCAAAACCCCACGAAGAAATGTTAAACTGTATCATCCAATGATGTAGTGACGATATTGCAATGTGTGCAATTAGATCTTCCAATACTCCAATACAGCCGCTGTTTATTTCAATCTGAAAAGTGTTATAAAATATAAAGTTACATTTGAAATAAAGACGAAACCAAATTGGTTTTCTCTACGCAAACACTGTAGAGAGTCTGATAAAAAAAAAACAATTTACATAAAATTGTGAGTTAAGCGATTTCGTCTCCCAGATTAAGTTACAACTGGTGTTTAAAAGTTTTGCGAGCATGAATTCACGAAAAAGAAAGACAATGCTACAAATTAAAATTCTAGACAGTTTTTGTTTTTACCTGGTCTGATTGTGTAGGAGAACAAAGGCTTTGAGCAATAAACAGAAGCTTAATGATTATCGAACACTTAATTGATTACACCAATGTGTAATCATCGTTCTTAATGTATTTTATTTTTAGTGCTGACCAAACCATCCCTTCAAATGTCGAGGTAACTAAACATATGAACTCTGCTTCATCTGCCCTAGATATCATAGCATCTGGAAAGGTAACTTTATTAAAACCATATGACTGTATATTCGGGTTTTATGGTATTTTGCAACAACATAGACACAAAACCGCATTAAGAGTATGAATCATCTCTTGTATATTTACATTTTTTTAGAAATCTTAATCTTTGTTACATAGGTTAGATTTAGATATACGAAACAATTGGTTAAAAACCGTTATGAATTGGAGTATCCCCTTTAATGCTCTTCTAATACAATCAACAATCGGTAATGCGTATGATTGTTAACTCCATAAGGGCCGAATCTGGACCCCGAGTTCGTTCGATGAGGAAATACTGCTATCTTACAGATTGTTCTACACGAAAAAGGCTATGGTAACAAATCGTGAAAGAAATGCAGGCTGATGTCAACGGGCCACTTAGCACATAATATGTTGACGTGTACACTCATGTTGGAGGACATTCCATCCAATACCACTATTGATAAAGCGGAAGTGATCTCCCTTAACTTTCTCTAATATTCATAAATATAACTACGTGGGATGGCAACCAGAGATATAGGCATGATTTTTAATCAATTTTCAAAAACCTAAACTTTTTATGATAGAATAGATTAGAATCTCGTAGAAAAAAAGAATAGCGCATCAAATAAAAATCAAACAATGTTTGTATAATGATGCTGAACATTAATACTTTGAACATTCAAAAGCGTTTTTTCGAGAAATCGGAAATAGTGAAAAGTACTAACAATCACCAGAAATTAATCAAATTTTGACAAAGAAAACCAGAGCATTAGATCTCGTACTTAATTGTGAAATTTCATCTATCAATCTAAAACAGTACTCAAGTTGTAAGCTTTTACAAACTAAGAGTTGAGTAATTCCACTTCCGGTTACCGGAAATCGCTGAAATTTGATGTAATACTTATATATGAAATTTTATTAACTTAGCTGTAACGGTCCTCAAGCTATTTTCTTCACAGACACAAACACAGACACACACACGCATAAACACACACACAGATATACGGACAAAATCGAAGACATAAGTTTTTTCCGACTCAAGGAGGTGTAAAACGAGTAAGTAAAAAACGAGAAAGTAAAAGAAATAATACTATTTTTTTCTCAGAAAGTATTAAATACAATACCCAATCGAATCAATTTTAAATCAATTCAAAACTAAAATAGTTTTACCTTTCCATTGCTTAAATAAAAAACTTCTATTTCCTGTTGTACTGTTTTTAAAAAATCAAAATATGAGAAGAAAAAAATGTAAAGAACGAAGCATTTCTCTATTACCGAGGGCCAAATTATCTAATGTTCCACATATTATCACTCAAAATAATCATGATAGCAAAAGCTTCTCAAAATCCTCAAATCTCGCGTAACAGACAATATGGTAACAAGCAAAATACCAAAACCAAATATCAGGAAGACATGTTAGAGTTGAAACAGATGGTAGTTGTTGAAAAACTCGACCATTCTGGACGCTAGTATTACAAAACGAGAGATGAAATTATTTTTTAGAATTTAGAATGTTTGATAAAATTAGAGTTTGTAAATTTGTAAATAATGTCGCGGTATTTAGACATCCTTTCAGGAACTTTTTAACGTTCTTTTTGAACGATGCATTTTAAATATTTCTTCAAAAGTGCGAGGATAATGGGCTAGTAATAGAATCTAAAGAGTTAACCTTGAACAGTACATATATTGCTATTAATTTGGTGAACATGATAATTTTTTACACGTGCCCATAATTAAATAATAATTTATAGTATAAAATAAACCGGGAGTGATCTCCCCTAAACTTTCTCGAATATTCTTATTTAACTCTACGGGGGTTGGCAACTTGGGATATAGACATGATTTTTACAAGCTTTTATTTAACTCACTTCTTCTGTCTTCAGTCTGTCGTCAGTCTGTCTAGTTCGAAACGGCCGAGCGAAATTGCAGGCTCTTCTAGCTGATAGATACGGTTCGTAATTGATATGTGGGTCAAGACATGAAGACAATGCAACATGACATTAAATTTGACTTAATTGGTTGCCTGATACGTTTTTTATGAATTAATTAAAATTTTGTCCAAATTAGTAGGCTGTCTAATGAAACTATTCCGCGCTATTAGACACGCGTCATCACGTTCAATAGGTGCGAAATGGTTTTTAGTCATGTAACACTATTGTAAATAACACATGCAAAGTAGGCTACTAAATAAATCTCATAAGAAACGTTTTAATAATAAACTTTTATGTAATAAGGCGCTAAAAAGTAGAAAATAAATTATACACTGCTGTTTAAATAAAATGCGTGGGTCTCTTCCAAAACATTAGTGAAGGTATCTAATAGATACTAAAGTGATCCACGCTTTTCTTTATAGTTATTTAAATAGTAGTGTAAAAAAATTCTACTTGTTAGTGCATTATTACATAAAAGCTTGTTATTAAAGCGTTTTTCATGAATTTTTTTAAATGATTTTTTTTTTACAAGCTTTTATTTAACTGTCTCTGTCCTCTGTCTAGATTGAATTGCCCGAGCGAAAATTCGGGACTTCTAACTGACAGATACGGTTCGTAGTTGGCATGTAGGTCAAGACATGAAGACAACATGACATTAAATTTGACTAAATAGGCTGTCTCATCAAACCATTCCACACTATTAGACACGCGTAATCACGTTCATTAGGTACGCATGGATTTATGTCATGCAACTCTATTGTAAATTTAAAATATTTAAAATTACTGGAAAAAAAAATTCATAAATAAAAAACGTATTAAACAAGCTTTTATGTAATAATGCACTAAAAAGTTTTATTATAGGTATTTAAATAGTAGTGTATAATTTATTACCTACCTTTAGTGCATTATTACATAATAGCTTGTTACAGTTTGTTGATACAGAACTACACATTTGATATAATATAGGCATATGAAATTTCCTCAATCTAGCTGTGACGGTACTGAAGTTATCGTGTTCACAGACACAGACACATACACACACACATACACACACACAGACATTCGGACAAGATTGCAAAACTATGGGTTTTTTTTCTAACTCAGGGAGATGTAAAACGTGGATATTTCGATGGTTTTTTTTTGCAAGAATACAATACTTCATCAATACTTGGTATACGAGAAAGTAAAAATCAAAGAAAAAAACGTATTGACAAACGAATTAACTGCACCACGCTGACATTTCGATTATAATTATTAGTGTTAAGTTAAATATGTTCTATTAGAAAATATGTAAATATACAATACAGCTATAGAATGATGATTGTAGAGTAGATACTATTTTTAAATTATCCTAAATTTCTGAAACATATTTTATGATTAAACAATTAATAATAAAACCCCACAAACCTGTGTTCTAAAACCACTTCAAACAGTGATACATGTCGTTTGATGTCCAAGATTTGAGCAACAGATATCCAGCATGACCGTGATCAATTCGCCCGCAACGTTCGTGTGGTGGCGCGTGATTTAGCCGTACCGCGACGTTCTTGTTATGATGCGTAATTTAGCCGTACCGCTGTTGGATGGATTCCATACCTGCCGTTCGCGGAGAAATATTGACTACTGCTGTGGTTTTAGATGGCGGTGTTTGCTGTTTACCGGGATCGGTTTTTTTTTTCATTTTATCAGTTGTGTAGATAAGCTTTTATTTCTAGATGTATAAATCTAGAGGGTTGGGAGTAAGAGTACGTCATGCAAATGTTTAATTGACTTACTTGTCTTTAAAGTCCCGCAACAGAGTTTGGGATTTTGAGATTGCAATGGGGGAAGGAAAGGATAGGTACTGGTATAATACGTAATGTGTAGTCGGGTAATTACACAGGGTGGTAATTAATTGAGAGGAGATAATTGATCTGGGGTTAATGACCGGGTGGAGTAGGGGTGGCAAACGTCTTACACCCAGATACAGCATGTCAAATTTTGGATAAATTTAATACGTACTGGTCGCTACTATTTTTGTACTATTTCTGTTGTTTTTCAGAGTAGTTTATATTACTTTAGGCCGAGAAAATTGTATCCATTTCACAGAGTACTTCTCTATAAGTACATCTATAGATCTGAATCAAATTTTAATGAAATAGTTCATTTCTTCATATTATAAAATTGGAAGATGACGGTGACGCCATTAGTTTTGTGTACTTTCCGTAGTTTAAACATGTGACATGTGACGTCACTTTTTATTGCATTATTGTCACAACAATAAACACTTTTCCAGTTGTATAACTAAAATTGTGTTTCTACATTCGAATACTGCTTTATTTTTATTTTACTTCTTTAAATAAAATTTAGTTTATACATTTAAAACATCCAACCTATTATTTTCAACAAAAGTCCGTATCTTTAAGTTCTGTGTATATCGCTGAACATTAATGTTTGATTTTATTGTGTGATAAACCGGGAGTGATTTCCCCTAAACT